CTATCTTTTTTTTATTTCATTTTATTAATTTACTTCTTATCTTGTGTTTGGACTTTCATCAATTTCTCACGCACCAGTTTGACAAAATCATAAAAATAAAAAAAACTGTGAAACCTCTCACTAACTTTACCTTCACTCACTTTTTATTGAAAAAAAATGAAAAATCTATTAAACTCTTGGAAAGTGATTTTCACATCCAACTTATAAAATTGAAATCGAATTTATAGGATTTTTGGCTAAAAGATGAATTTGATCCTTAAACATGTAAATAGGCGAGAATTTAGTTCTTGAAAAAAATTATAAATTAATGTCTAAATATGTGAAAATATGAATTTTTGAATTTTATATATCATTCATTAACCAATTCATCTTTAAAAATAAATTTGAGTATCAAATTAGTACTTAAAAAAATAACTTAGTAATAAATCATTCCATAAAACTTAACAACATAATATAATGGTCGCATATTTACATATTTAAGAACTAAAAAAAAAATCAATAACTAAAATGTTAAAAGTTTAGACATACATACACAAACCTAATTAATCACTAATTATGAGATTTTGAAATTTCAAGATTTTATTATCATTAAATTTAAATTAAATAATATTTTATTTTAAATTTCAAATTTAATTATCTTTAAAATATTTTTATTATATCTATATTATTATATTCAAATCAAATAAAATACTATTTTATGTTGAATATATTTCATAAAAAATGACTTTAACTTATATATATAAGTTTTATAAACATCATTAATAAAAATTTAAAACTAAAGCTGGAAAACATATTTTATCAAAATTGATGTTTTAGTTTTTAAAAATTGAAAAATAAAAATAACTTTTAGAAACTATTGTACAAAATAATTATCAATAAATTGTTTTTAACTTTTAAACTAAAAAACAATAAATAAACAAATCATTATTATCACCTTATACATCTTGTGACTTCTTAATAATTAAGCAACTCATTTATTTTTTCATTATAAATAATTTTTAAATTTTAAAAATCATTCATGTTAATTTTTTATTTAACCATAACTAATTTCTAAGCAAAGACATTTGATCAATCGTTTTATCATCTAATTATTATATTATTTTTCTCTTAATCAATTAAATCGCTATAGATTTTTTCATTTATTTATTTTCACTTTTTTCTCTTTATCTAGATAACTTCACTTTTTTACTCAATTTTCAAACAAACTTATTTAGAATCCTAAACCCTAAAATATGCATTTAAAAAAAATGTTTTTGTAATTCAACATCATATATTTGCTAATAAATTTTTTTTAAATTGATTCTTCTAATGATAAATATTAATAGATATGGCACTAGAAACAAACCGTTGTTATAAAACCATAGAAATAATGGAGAACTATAAAAGTAGGTATTAAAAGCACTACTAGACTTGCAATGATTGTGTGTTTCATGGTTGACATTTGGGTGTTCAACTCAAGAGTCCAAGTGGTGAACAACTTCCATAATTGAGAAACCCATTGGCCATCAATGACTACGGTACTCTTCAATCGCCACGTTGTGTTTGTTAGGTTTTTTCTTTTCTTCCATTGATGTTTTCCTGCAATTCACTTATACTTGTAAGATGTCTTTTTACATTTTACCTCTTCATGTTCCTTATAATAATATAATTAATTATTATTATAATAATATAATTCATTATTGTTATGAAGTATTTTCTTTTGAAATTTTAACTTATCATAAATTTACAATCAAATCATCTTATAAATTAAAAGAAAATAATTTATGTAAATTATATTTAATTTTGATTTGTAAGTGACGTGAGACTCGTAAGTAAGTCAGAATATAATTCTCAATTAAGGATAAATAGTAAAAAAAACTAACCTCTAATCTCAAACTCATGGTGAACACCAATATTCCGTCAAATAACAAATAGTGTCTCAACCTCATAAATATTACGATAATATTATCGAGTTAATTATTATATCTTAAATATTATCCGTCTTTAGTTTGTTACAGTTTTACCCTAAAGATGTATTGATAGATTAAGAGAGGATAATATATAGAAACTATAATTAATATCTCAAATCCAAGTGATATGAGACTTATAAGTATACTAGAACATAGTTTTCCCATCGAGGATTTTGGGGATATGAGAAAACTAAAAATGTAGTTTCGATCCTAAGTGGATGACAATGTTCCGTATAAGAATGAGCTTAATTTCGTATCTATTATAATAATACTATTAGGTCTATTACCATATCTAATATATTATCCATTTTGAAAATCTAGTCTTGGTATTAAGAACGAGATTTGATCAAATGTTCTATCTAAGAAAAAAATAATTTACCCTATGTCCACTTTAATAACATCATTATAAATTTGTCCACTTTAATAACATCATTATAAATTTGTCACTACATCAAAACTATTTTTCATTTTAAAACTCTTAATTTATTCATTCACCTTTTAAGAATAAAAATTTGACAACTTAAAATTTTAAAATAGATGATATTTCTAACATAAAAATAGATCTTAATAATAGTATCATCAAATTTACAAGTTAGAATATTGTTGTTCTAAAAAAAAGAAAAATTTATAGTAACTATTTTAGATTTTTAAGAAAGGGAGTGGGCATTTAATTCTAATTTCTGGTTGATAATTACTTCAAAATTGAATCTGTATATAATTTGGTAGAAATTAAATCATACAAAATTAAATTTAAATAAATATATTTTCGGTAAAATGAATGAATTTCTAATATATATATATATATATATATATATATATTAAATCTAAATTTGTTGTTTATATTATAGTACAAAACGAATAAATTTCAATTTTAGTCACTACAATTATTTTTAATTTTTTTTTCCAAAATTTAGAAGCACTATTTTACATTATATCACATACACTAAAATACATTATTTAAGATATTTACTTTGCATTACATTTAACACATAAATCATTAACAAATATCATATAATACAAACAATCAAAACTATTTTAATTTCAGAAAAGATGAAAATCTAAGAAAAGTTTTCACCAAAAAAAAAAAAAAAACTCTTTTAAGACTAAAATCGTCTTTCGTTTTTCTTCCTTAAACTATTATTCTATTCACAACTGTGGAAAGCGATAAAAGTTTTTATTTCACTGCTACTCAAGTCTTTTATGTAACAAATTTTGGTTTTTACTTGGAATAGAATTTGGAAGTTCAGGTATTCATGTTCTGATAGCAGAAAACCGTAATGGGGTTGAAGACTATCAACATGACAAACATAGATAAAAAGATTCCCAGAAAATTAACGCTAAACAATGGCTAATCTCATGAAGTTCAATCATGGTCAAATGGGTTTGCTGTCTTTCCTCACCATTGTATTTCAAACTCTTGCCTAATCAAACACCCATTCAAATGGGTTTGAGTCTAAGATTCAATTTCCCTAACAATATCCCAAATCTTCAACATCTCACTCTCTTACCCTTTGGGGTGTCTATATTACTTAGAAGGGGTCCAACCAACACCGCAAAAGGCATGCGTGTATGATGAAATCCTCTGCATTTTCCAAAATAAATACTGTCAAGCATCTTTCATATAAAGCACATTGTAAATTTTTCACACTGTAAGAGATGTCCTCGATAATATCTTGGGTTATGCTTTCACGAGAGTTCATCATAGAAAACACATCTCATTATGTGAATGTCAGATGTGATGGGGTAGCCTTCTTTAGTGAATGATAGAAAAATAAGGAATTAATAAAGAATAAATGAAACGCAAGAGGCTGGGAGTTTGAAGGAAAAGTTACCGTAAAGAAAAGGAGAAAAGTAAATTCTTCTTCATTTAAGGCCTCCCTATTTGACTATAAAGGCCAATTTCTTAAGTTGATTTTACATTATCTTTGTGGAAAACCAAAACAAGGATATTAGAGAAAGAGAAAAAACCTCAATTGATTTTGGCTAAATTCTTTTTTTTTTCTCTCTCAAAAGGATTTTGCTCTCTCCCACACGCGAGGTTTTCTCTCAAAAATTCTTATCTAAGAAATTGACTTTTTATCGTCAAAGATGTTAATTAAATAAGTGGGCCTAAAATAAAAGGAAATTGGTTTCCTTTTCTTTACCGTAACTTTCTTCAAACTCTTCCATATTTGCATTTTATTAATTATTTATTAAATGTCTTATTTTTCTCTCCACTTAAGAAGGAAAGCCATCAAGATGTGCTCATCCATAGCTCATCAAGATGTGCACAAACACAACAATGTGAAAAACCTAAAGATTGGTCATCTAATGACCATCTGTCTATGATCAAACAAAGCACAATAAAGAATGGAAAACAGATTATGAATTCCGAACAAAAATGCAAGGGCAACATTGGCTAATCACTTCCGAGGATAGGAAATATAAAGCTTAGATCTTATCTTATTCATAAAATCTACCCAATGAAACTTCTACATTCGTGGCATCAATTCATAGTGAATTTAACATCACTAGGACAAGCACTGCTCAACCTAAAATACAATTTAATGATTTAATCTGTTGTTACTAAAAATTCTGATGAACTCTAATTTCTTCCACTAAAATATCCAAAAATAAATATATAAAATCCTACAATGCACTTACAAGACTCCTATTGTTAGTCAACATGCTTAGGTTCTCTTGCATGATTATAGGAAATATGGAAAATGATGTAAATAACCAAATCAAACGAAATTATACAGATGTTAATTCCTACAGTAGAAAATCTAGGACGTTTTTCATAAACTTTTACTTTCCAAGATTTATCAATCTGCTTTTCCATAGAATTGAAACAATCCATCCACCCTTGAAGTTCAACTCTATCTTTGTCATCATTCCTTCACCATCCAAACAGGAACCGGAACCGGAACCTCCATTATTTCCTACCCTTGCCTCCTAATGTGCAACATTCTTAAGGTGCATTTGAATCAAATAAATAATTTGATACCAAATGCTTATGTCAAAACTTAATGTTCACAACAATTCTAGTTGCAAAATGCCAATCATACCAATCTATCTTTCCACAAAAGACGTGAGACTGTCCATCCATCGCAGAAGTTCAATTCTATCCTTGTTCATCATATATTCATGCAAGAAAACCGCAAGCTCATCATTCACTCCCCTTGCATCCAAGTACTCGTAAAACTTCTCTTGAACCTTAGCATTCAGGTCCCTGAAATAAAAACCAAAACACTTAGAAACATTAGCAAACCAACTTCATGTTTTACCAAATAAGATCACAACAGCTATCTCTTTCACACAAAATTTCTCCTCATCAATTCAAACTCGCATCACCAACCAAGGTTTTACAAAAAACAAGGCCCGCAGCTGCAATGTCAAGGATTTAGGGGTCTCATCTTGCTTGGTTTATTTGTCCACAATTTAAAACAATATCAAGCATCGCTATAAAATCATGACCACAATCTAGAACCATGTAACTGTAAACACTAAGGTTTTAAAAGACAGGAAGCAACCGAAATTCCATCTGCAACACCAGTGTTAGGAGTCATCGCAACTGCATTAGCCAAATTCGTCAGCAACTTCCTACAATATCACCAATCACACGAAACTGCAACCGCGACGCATTTTAAAACCTTGGCAAACACGAAACCTGTGACCAGTGAACCAATGAACAAAATCAAAATGGTAAATGTCATTTTCCAAACCTGAAATCAGGTCCAATGTAAGGCCTAGCCGCCATTCGACCGCGCTTTAACAAGTAAACTTTCTCAACATTCAAACACTCAGGCCACGCCGAGCACAGGAATTCTAACTCATCTTCACCTTCTCCCTTCGATATATCCACAATTAAACTAAGGTGAAGACGCACATTCACCCCAGAACTATCATCCCCACACGCAGGAACATGTTCACACCCATCAAACATCGTAGCCTCAATTCTAATATCCTCACATTCCCCAAACTTCCTATTAATCGTAACCACTTGCTCCCCACGTCTCTCTTCAACTGTAAACGAATTGAATTTAGTCTCAGGCTGCAAACGTTACAAGAATTCCAAACATTAATTCTAACGGAAACATTAAACAGTTAGAGTGAAATAAAATTAATTTATTGTAATTTCAGATATTCTAGTAACCTGGTGTGGTGGTGCGTATTCTTGCTGGTACTCGATTTCGTTTCGGAGTATTCTAATTATGTTGGAATCGAAGGGCGATTTGGTCAGTGGCTCTGGTGGTGCGGCGTACGTTCTGGCTTCGAAACGGGTGGTGGCAGTGACGGCGGTTAACGCTCTCGGGTTTCGTCTCCATGTGCAAGCTCTTCGAAGCGCTCGAAGGAGAGAAGAAGCCATTGATTCGGATTTTGGAACAGTTGAAGATGGAAAATGCTAAAAGGGTTTTAAAATTTAATTTGAAGGGTTTAGTTCTTAGGGCGACATCGTTTCTGTGGTATTTTTGTCTCGTAACTATTTCGGTGTTAGGCTTTTTCGGCCTAACATTTATTGGGCTCTAAGACTACAAAGACCTAATATTTATTGGGCTATAACATTTATTGCTCATCAAATATTGGCAATTGCTTCCTGCACCCAATACTTTCTATCTGCACTCTTGGAAGGTTTTGAAAAAGACCTGCGAATTTAATATGACTCGAACGTAAAATAGGTTTAAGAATAATATTTTCGAAATACTTGCACAACGAGTAATCCAAAAATTATAATTTATTCATTCATTTTATAAAATAATAATAATAACATTTAAAATAAAAAGACATTTTATTTTATTAATATATATATGTATATAATATAAATTAATTTAAAAAATATCACTTATTTTAAATTTAAATATAAAAGTAAGTTTATGATACCTATTTATTCTTAAGATATATAAGATAAATTATTATTTTAAATTATTAAAAAATAATTTTAAAATAAATAAACTTTTATATAATTTATATATTAAATTAATATATTTAAATAATAACCAAGTGTGGGAAGGTATGTCCAATGATCCAACCCACCTGACCTTTTACATAAACCGAGAAAGTGTTGGGGAAAAGAGTACAGAAGAGAATCCTAACAAACTTTCATATGCACCTTCTCCACGAAATTCAAATTATTTAATCCGAACAAATAATTATAAACTTTTTTATTTGTTTTAAATTATTTAATCTAAAATTTAATTAATTTATTTATTGCTTCAGTCTGAACTTCATTTTTAGAAATAATTTTTTTTATATATTTCATATGGGTTATTTCGAAATACATTCATAAAGTATCCATTTATAAATTTTTTGTAATGTTGTTCCAAAACATATTCTGCGTCAAAGTCAAATAAAACATGTAAGAATGATATTGCCTTATTAAAAACGAATGGGAATGGAGGTTAAAAATATGAGGGTGTAATCAAATAATGCAATGCATGCAACCAGGGTAAAATGGATCATATTATGTTATGTTAAGGTTGAGATTAAAGAGGGGTTGAATTGATCTTTTAAATATTTTCTCAATTTCTTGATCTAGATTATCTATTTTAAAGATTTTGAATTTTGATCACTTTTTGCATCAAGAAAACCAAGCAATTCAATAAAGAGCAGCAGCAGAATTAAAGAGAGTAAGATTTAGAAAAATACAACCAAGATTTATACTAATTCACCCCAATCACAGGGCTACATCCAGTTCTCAGCCAAATTCCAGTTGAGTTCCACTAGATTGAATGTTTTACAGATTACAATTTCGAATCACACAACACTCAATCTAACCCAAGAATCAAATTCCAGTTCTTGCACCTAAACCTTCAACACGAACCAAATTCCAGTTCTTGTACAAACCTACAACCAAATTCCAGTCACAGAAATCGTGCCCAACAATGCCAAACACTCATAATACAGAAAAGATTTACAGAAAACAAAGGAGAAGAAATCAGAACACTCAAACCCGATTATGTCTCCTGTAGTATGAGTTTCTTCACCAAAAGAAAACAAAAATTGCCTCAAGAAAGATTTTTAAAAACTCCACAAAACATGCGCGATTCTTTCTTGAAAATAACTCTTATGATTACTTGATTGATTGCTAAAAGATGCATTTTAAAACATTGAAGCAATCATGTTTTTTTAGAGTTTTATTTTAACTGCTGGTTTAATTAATCTGTTAAAACAGTCTTTTAATCTGTTAAAAGTCTTTTATTAATTGGTTAAAACATCTTTTAATCTGTTAAAATGTTCTTGATCATTTTTCAGATTTATTTTAATTGATGCGACAACGTTTCAATCAATTAAAACAATTAACAAAAAATCCTTTAAGTTGTTTTAATCGATTATTTCGCAGTTTAATCGATTAATATTCTGTCAAAACCTTTCACAAAACTTTCTAAGTGATTTTAATTGATAACAACAAGTTTTAATCGATTAAAACACTTAGTAAAAAGTCCCTTAAGTTGTTTTAATCAATTAATTCGATTTTACATCGATTAAAATACTGATAGAACATCTTTCAAAACATCTCAAGTTATTCTGATCGATTATTTTGATATTACATCGATTAAAAAATACTTCAAGTGGTTTTAATCGATTATTTCGAAGTTATATCGATTAAAATACTGTCAGAACACTTTTCAAAACATATTAAGTGATTTTAATCGATTATTTCGAATCTATATCAGTTAAAATACTGGTAGAAGGTTTCCAAATACTCCTATAATGAAAATAATCAATTATTTCAAAGATGTATCGATTAAAACAGCTTTAACAAATGTTTTAAATGATTTTAATCAATTATTTCGAAAACATATCAATTAAAACTATTTCTTAAGAACAATTTAACTGGTTACTTTGGTTTTTAACAGATTAAGAACATCTTGAAATACATTTTTGAATTCTTTCAAATGATGAAACCTCATGCAGTAGAGAGATATGAATGAATACCTATTGATATTGATGATGACTCATTAATCACTCTACCCTTAAACCCAAGCAGCCTTTGACTTCATCAAATCCACAAGATCTTCATTTTATCAAATGATCCAATAAGATCTTCATCACTTTTAGTCTTCCCCTATTTGATGAAGACAAACATCTCTTTGAAAGATCTTGATCTGCAAAAGAAATCACTTGGATATATAGATTAGTGAGTATTCAATATTCAATATTAATCATTTCTCCCCCATTGAATTCGTCAAAAATAAAGAGGAAAAAGGTAAATAACAAACATGTAAAATATTTTGAGATGTATTCTAATCATAACAAATATGAAAGACCAGAGAGAAATCATATGTTTTTTTTTTTTAAATATATTATTCTATCAAGGATAATTAAAGTTGATTCAATCTTATCTTCTTTAACACGTTTGTGATGAACACAATTAATACATGTAAAGATAATAGAACCTTGTTTTAGTAGCATGTTACAAAAACAGTCATTAACTAAAGTCTTTAATTTGTTTTGCAAAATAATAATCGATTAAAAACAGGACATAATCGATTAAATTAATTATGTTTATGATTTTAATTGATACAGATAATGTTTTAATCGATTAAAACAGGAATGACAAATGTGTATTAAAAGTCAGAGAGTATTTAATAGATTAAAATAATATCATTATAAGTGAAATTGATCGATTAAAGCTAGTTTATATCAATTAAAACAATAAGAAATGAGAACTAAGTGATGTTTGATGCATCTAGAATCCTTAATTCAGTTCAAATTTTATAAAAGCGATCACGAGCAAGAGGTTTTGTAAATATATCAGCTAATTGTTTCTCAATTTCAATAAAGAAAATTTCACAATCCCTTTTTGAAACATGATCTCTAATGAAATGATGTCTAATTTCTATATGTTTTGTCCTAGAATGCTGAATTGGATTCTTTGTTAATATGATGGCACTGATATTATCACATAAAATAGGGATCTTATTAAGAATTAAATCGTAGTCCTCAAGTTTTTGTTTGAGCCATAAGGATTGAGCACAACAACTTCCAGCTGCAATGTACTCGACTTTAGCAGTAGAGAGAGCAACACATGATTGCTTTTTGTTGTGCCATGAGATTATACTGCTTCCTAGGAGATGACAAGTGCCACTTGTGCTTTTTCTGTCAAGCTTACACCCTGAAAAATCTGAGTCGGACTAACCAATTAGATTTAGTTTAGACTCACCAGGATACCACAACCCAACATTCAATGTTCCTTTGAGATATTTGAGAATCCTCTTTACAGTAGTAAAATGTGATTCTTTTGGTGCAGATTGAAACCTGGCACACATACAAACACTAAACATAATGTCAGGTCTACTTGATGTAAGATATAATAAATAGCCAATAAGTCCTCTATATTTTGTTTGATCTATTGATTTTCCCTTTTTATCTGCATCAAGATAGCAGTTGGTGGACATTGGTGTGTGTTAGATATTGTTTAGATATTATTTGATATTGTTAAGATATTGTTAATCACAATATGAAACAATATCTTCTGTTTATTCTGTTACTTTCAGTTACTCTTTTAGTTGTATCTCTCTATTATAAATAGACTACCCTATGTGTGATTTATACACAAGGAAGATTAATTCTAAACCCTATTTTCTCTATATTCAACATGGTATCTAGAGCTTAAGGTTATCTTGAAAATTTTTTTTCGCCTTTTGTCCATTGCTGGAGCCACCCCACCGTTGCTAGAGCCGCCCCACCGCTACTGGTAAACTGATCCTTTACATAAGAAAAGAATTATCTTTATTACTGAATTTTATTTGGTAGTGTGAAAGTGCATGTCTAGGAAAGTTCTGGCAAGGAAAGACTTGGTATTTAAGCGTGTCCATTAGTGACCCACCTCTCTTTCCTGGGAACTTACCTGGTGTACTGGTTCACGCCGTTGTCACTATTGCCTCCGCCGCCTCCGCCCTTTATGACTTCTTCTGCTCCTTTTAGTACTTCCAATTCTGTCAGTACTGCGTCTGATCCTTCCATCTACACTAACTATGTTAATGTGCACTTATCCATTGACAAGTTAACTGGCCCTAATTATGCTACATGGTCATCAGACATCAGATTATGGCTTAAGAGTCAGAAGTATCTTGATCATCTTGCCCCGAAAGCACCTACTCTTACTCCTGGTGAGGAAGACCGTTGGGACACCATTGATGCTCAATTATGTGTGGTTCTCAAGGGTACTCTTGATCCTTCGTTAAAACAAATTTTTGGTTCATACGAAACATGTGCCAAAATCTGGGAACATGCCAAGTTATTATACACCAATGATACTCAACGTCTTTATGATGTCTATTCTAAATTTGTAGATGTTATTGCCTCTAAACATCAAGATTCTATGACTGATTATATGGGCAAAATTCATGCTCTTTTTCATGAGTT